GTCGCTTGTGAGAAACACCGCGCATCACGTCCGAGAATGCCGACTGAAAGGGTGTATCAAACAGGCGGCCCTGGCATCGACGACAAGTCCGTGTGGCTGACAGGACGAAGAGCCTGACATACGTAGAGAAGAGGCCAGAGCCGACGATCGTGGGTCCGCTGCTGCAGCAGGCAAGCGCCACGCGCATGATGATGATGAAAGATGATGATGATGATGAGGGATGATGATGATGATGAGGGATGATGATGATGATGATGATGAGTAGACGATACACACATGATAAGTATGTACATGATAAGTATGTACCGGTACATGATAAGTATGTACTGATACATGATAAGTATGTACATGATGGAGTATGTCTACTGATACATGATAAGTATGTACATGATGAGTATGTACTGATACATGATAAGTATGTACATGATGAGTATGTACTGATACATGATAAGTATGTACATGATGAGTATGTAACTGAACATGATAAGTGTACATGATAAGTATGTACCGTACATGATAAGTATGTACTGATACATGATAAGTATGTACATGATGAGTATGTACATGATAAGTATGTACATGATGAGTATGTACTGATACATGATAAGTATGTACATGATAAGTATGTACCGGTACATGATAAGTATGTATATGATCAGTATGTACATGATGAGTATGTATATGATATGTGTATGTACATGATGAGTATGTATATGATATGTATGTACATGATGAGTATGTTATATGATAGTATAGTTACACTGATAAGTATGTATATGATAAGTATGTATATGATAAGTATGTATATGATATGTATGTACATGATGAGTATGTATATGATAAGTATGTATATGATATGTATGTACATGATAAGTATGTATATGATATGTATGTACATGATAAGTATGTATATGATATGTATGTACATGATAAGTAATATTAAGTATGTATATGATATGTATGTACATGATAAGTAATATTAAGTATGTATATGATATGTATTAATTGTGAGACATGATTAAGTATGTATATGATATGTATGTACATTATGTTATTATAGATATGTATGTACAGATAAGTCATAGTATCATGATAGTATGTTACATGATGAAAGTAATATTAAGGTATGTACATGATAAGTATGTATATGATATGTATGTACATGATAAGTAATATTAAGTATGTATATGATATGTATGCACATGATAAGTAAGTCATGAAGATGAGATATACACACGCGCGCGCGTGCGTAGTTATTCCCGCGACCGTGGCGACCCCTCCACGCAATAATACGTCGCTTACGTATAAGGCTAACCGTCCTAGAATGGTCACGCGACTAGATTTATCAATGGATAAATGGCGTATTACGTTTGTTACAATCCGATGTTAGCCAGTTATTTTCTGTGCGGTCAGATAAATTTGAAGCTGCAGATTTTTCCACTATTGCTTCTGATATCGGATAAAGCGGGGTTCGTAAAATCGAGGGTTAAGTACATAGTAAAAATGATTAACAGTTAACCTGAACTGAAATAAAATATTACCCATACTCCATAGTTAAGTAAGTAATATATATGTAGTTATCGACGTGTAACCTATTCAGGTAGTGCATAATACTAAGAAGAAAGCATGGTAAACTATTGTTCATCATTATAGTGTTAACGGATACCAATTTTAATTTACATCTGTGTGTAGACAACGAAATCGTTTCCCATCTTCCCTTATTTATAAAATAAACTTCACTACACAACATAACACCTCCTCGTTTTCTCATTAGAAAACAGTAGCAATGAATAAGGTGGGAAATCAACAAAACTCCTTACGACTAGAAATACGGTTACCAATAACCAATAAACACGTGACGCACCATACCAGTACACGCGCTTCAGTAACACAGAATTATACATGTAAAAATATCAGAATATTGGCTTGCGCCCATGAACACAATCCACATTGTGAAGCACAGACGTACAGGTGTACAGAATTCGCTTACTGTTGTGTAAAACTATGCCTTTCTGGTCTCGTTACGATTATACAACTAAACTAGTAACCAGCGTTCACGCATAAAGTACGCAAATAACCCTTGTAACGGAGCAAAGACAAAAAAGTTCGGATTATGTCTTACAATATATATATAACACGTGCGTTCTGCTCACGTTCTCTTTGCGTAGTGTTACTCTACGAACGGGGTCTTCTGACACATTAAGTAGTAGTCTTTTAAGTAGCATTCTGTATAACCTAATAAGCACCACATTTGTCTGCACACATTTGTACACATTTTAGCACACTTTATATAGCAGCTAATAGTAATACTGACACAATATGAGGTGATTACTAACAAAGGACGCAGTAGCTTGCTTGCACTGGATCCCAGACTCAATATTTGCGAAATACAGAAGTAAGAACAACTTACTACAACTACTTAGGTTGTTACTACAACCAGACGATGAAGGTATCACAGTCAGCACTTGGACCTTTTTGATCCGAAGTGACACGAATGATAGTAGTGACAACAGCGACAACAACAACAACGACGGCAACGACAACAACAACAACAACAACAACAACAACAACAACAACAACAACAACAACAAGTAACAAGGACTGATACAATTACAATGATGATAGGGAAGAGAACATAGAAGGAAACAAAATATCACAGTCAGCACTTGGACCTTCTTGATCCGAAGTGACACGAATGGTGGCGACAACGAGGACAGCGGTAATTAACAACAGGTTGTCACGGTGATGACGATGACGGTGACAGCAGACAATATATATCACAGTTAGCGCATGAACCTTCTCGATTCGAAGCACCCTTTATGAAGAGAAACGATCAACATGGCATGACGATGAATTCCTTGGTGGCTACTGGCGGATGAAATATATCACAGTTAGCACTTGAGCTTTCTCAGCTCGAAGTGACGTGAACGATGACGGTGAGAAATGTATGGCGTCGAGCCTTTGTGAATGAGGTGGCCAGTTAATAAGGCCTTAAGTGATCCAGCGTAGGATTTAGGCCGATATAATATAGGATATGCGGCATCAAATCGACGTACTCAAAGCTTGCTACCACGACCTGGAACTTGTACCATCTCGGTACGAAGTCCAGATACGGCATAACTAATCATAAACTATAAAATCGTGGGATGCCAGTATCGATGCACGCACACCCTCACACAAACGCATGCACACCCATAGACAAACGCACGACTTCACACGCGCACACACGCACGCACGCACGCACGCACGCACGCACGCACGCACGCACGCACGCACACACACACACACATCTACATCAATTCATAAAGTTGTCAGAGCAGCCACTATAGCCTTCTTGCTCATAAAAAACATTTTATCGGAATTCATACACAGAACAAAACATACCTAGATTAATTTAATAACCCCATTCTTAATCACTGCATGTCACCTCTAAAACTTACCTGGATCACATTAATAAACCCTTCTAAACACTGTCACTTCTACAACATACCTTGATTTACCTACTTATTTTACTGACTTACTGTAATTTGTGATCATCATTTAACTGTCTATCGTGTCTATAGCTTTTTAAGCTCATTTAACGAAATTTTTATTGAGGTTTGCACATTATTGATAGTACAAAATTTCTTTTTATTACAGGCAAGGATTCTTTCTAAAAATTCAAGGACATTTTCATGAAATTCAAGCACTTTTCAAGCACAAAATCAACATTTACTAAATTCAAGTACTTTTCAAGGACTCTCCTAAAATTCAAGGACTTTTCAAGTACTGTGCGAACCATGGTGCTGCATAGAGGAAAATTATTACTTGCATGTCAACCAGGGAAAAAATTTCTCTTCTTTTTTTTCTCGGGAGCTCTTTTTCAAAAGTCTGTGGAAAAAATAGCTCTTGTCATAGCCCTTGTTTTACGGGAGCTATTTTGAGCCTCACGGGAGCGATTTCGGAGGTTTGAAGAGCAAATCGCTCATCGCTTCCGTGTATTTTTTACCCTGATGTCAACGACCGCATATGATGAGACAGGACGAACGTGAGCGTGCGATCAGAGACAATCGACTCCAAATGAAGTCAACGCACTTAGGGTGAAAGTATTACTTGCACAGAGATAAAGTATTACTGGCACAAAATCTTTTCATGTTATTAAAGATCGTACACATATGATGAGACAGGCATGCAGGCCTTGCCATGTTAAAAATAAATATGTCCCGTGTACTACACTAGCGGTAGCCAACGGCTGGTCTCGCAGCATCGCAGCAAACTGTAAGCAATTAACACTAAATGTGTCATGAGGGTGTACAAAATGAGAGGAGTAGTTGTAAACCAAAAAAATTGTTGTGAACTTCTACTGCACACACAAAACCAGATGGCTGCCATATGATGTTGACACAATGTGATAACACCCAGTAACTCTGCATCTCTCTTTTATGCCCCCACCTCTCTCTATCTCTCGCTGTCATTCCCCCTCTCTCTTCTCTCTCTCTATCTCTCTCTCGCACTATCTCTCTCTCTCTCTCTCTCTCTCTCTCTCTATTTCTATATTTCACGCTCACTCTCTCTCTATTTCTATCTTTCACGCTCACTCTTTCCCCCACTCTTTCTCACCCCCTTCTCCCGCACTGAATATGAAGCAGCATGGTTAATAGATGACACACAGGTCAGCACTACCCTAACAGCTGCGCGCTGTCACACGTACCACGTCAGCGGCGATGGAGTAGTGTGCGGAGTAGACGAACACGCTGGGCGCCGTCGGGAAGGTCCCGTAGAGGAAGCCATAGTTGCTCAGGTCCAGCGTATGTCCAGTGAGTCGCGGTCGATTTTCGAGTCGGCCGGCCGAGTCGCCCGATTCAAACATGTTTGATAACTATTTGAGCCGGCCGGCTGCAATCGCCTAGTGTGCCCGGGTCTGCGATTGAGCCGGCCGATTGTACAATTCATCAGCCAATCAGCGTGCTGAAAATCCAGAGTCGCCCGACTCAGTCGCGTAGTGTGTCCACAGAGTCGCCCGACTGAGCCGGCCGGCTCAATCGCATGAAAAATCGCGTAGTGTGTCCACAGCTTTACACAGCTTCTGACTGTACTGAAACACACACTGACAAATTCGTGCATAACATGCATATTCGCGATGCGTAAAATTGGTTAAGATCCTACAAAAAATAAACGAAAAAATATCTATAATGTATATACTCTAGCATTAATAGAGAAAAACTTCTTTCATCGAAAAGCACATCCACACACGCTCAAACGCGCATGCACACACGCACGCACGCACACACACACGCACGCACGCACGCATGCACACACACACACACACACTTGGGCTTTAACAGATTGCTGTAGACATAAGGCAGTTAGTACGAACCGTGGTCCTTGTTCATGTTACCTACGAATTTGGATGGACTATCTTACTTGTCTGTCCACAAAATAGCCTTCCTTGTCTAGCATCTTAACTGCAGACCTGTCCGGAATATGGTCATGGTTGACTATGTGGTCCTATGAAACTACATAATTCAACCATCACATATAACAAGATCAGGCATGACAGTGCCATACCAACCGCACCATGTACGAAAACCAAATATCTACAAGCACAAGTAACTTCATACAACTAGACCGGATGTATAAATTGTTGCTAACAGGCTCATACACTTAGAATTATGATAAAATCAAATCACTCTTATCATGAAATCCCTTAGTTATTCTCCCCCAAGTTATTCTAAGTATCATTGTGGCTTATCCGTTTTCGCAGCACTACATATTACCACATGTGAGTTCTTACAATAACTGCCACTGGCATTGCAGTAGCTGAGCAGGTACTGCTATTATCTAACCTTGCAAGCTTGCATGACCAGACATTTGATGACATGATAGACATCATCTTTTGACATTTGATTTCTTTGACAGTCACAATTCAACTCCTACATCTGAGATATCAAAAACACACTCGGGACGTGCTCAAACAACCGTCCTATCTCACGCTCAACTAGGGAAGCACCTCATACAACTATAAACAGCTTTGTGTTTGGCCACATCACCTCTGATATTTTTCGCAGAGGATTTGGCTACACTACTCGGCATCACTCGCTCAAAATATGGCACATGATCGAAACGTACCTCGATGCAGCTCTCTTATAGGCACACGGAAATAGGTGGGTGATATATAATCTCATGATTAGTCGCTAACAACGACTATGCGATCACGACAACGCATTCTCGAGAAACTTGTAGAAGTAAGGCAGGTCATAGAACGTGTACGTGTTGCTATGGTGACAGATGATGCGACCATTGAGCAGTTGGCGCCCATATTTGACTCCCTCAGGTCGATCGTGGACGAGACCTATCTCTAGCAGCCAGTCCACCAGCTCATTGCCACAAAAAACAGATTTGTACGTCTTCATAGAATGTCTGAAAAAGGAGTAAATCATGCCGAGATTTATTACGCGTCGCGAGTGCACATTGTCAAAACTTTTCCCAACCAGATACTAATACTTATTCTATTGACAGTCAAAGTGCCCACTTCATCCACGCATTACTAACTCCACCTATCAGCAATAACGTGAGTTGCTTTACGTACGTCCGGTCCGATGCAAGATCAGCTATGCACTTGTCTTTGTGATGAACCAGGAACTGCGCACACACATGCACTGTCTCATCGTCCAGGTCCTCAAACTTGGGCAAGCAAATGCCTTCTGACCCGTACCTCAGCCAGCGCCACCTATGTGAGAGAGCCGAAGTAATTAGACACCTTACTTACTAGAGGTTGCACTAGAGTTGCAATTACCATTTTAACGAAGATAAACATTAACACACAACATGGGAATTGGTATAGAGAAACATGTTTTACATACACGTCTAAAAAACTTGTAAAGCACAGAACAAATAATGATGATGCAGACACACCTTTTTAAAGTAGCATAATTTCAAACATACATTAAATATTCACACGATGATTAAACCGAGAGTATTGTTTCCCTTTAATATACAAAAGCCCACCAAAGCTTACACTAGTCACCCTGCCATGCATTCATGCCTACCTTTTCACAAGTTTCCTGCGCAGAAGCGTGTGCGAAAGCAAAACAGCACACATTCAGTCACACTCAAAGGAACCCCCCTTCACCTCCATTCTATCAGAAGTAGATAATAGGGTAGTAGATAGGGTAATAGGGTAGGGATAGGAAATTCCCTATTATCTACTTCTGATTCTATGCACGAAGCGAAACGAGAAAACCGACACCGAGGATTGTCACCACCGTAAGTCAACGTACCGCGAGTTAAACTGATTCTCATTAAAACGCAACATGCTATCACTGTAGTGCTGTGCAGTTAATCTAGAAAAACTGCTAAATCTCCAGCAACTTGCACCCCACAGTCCCTCTCTCCACTGCTCCATTACAAAACAACCCCGGGGCAGTGAACAACCCTTTGCACTTAACTGGAATGTGTAGGGCGGGCGGGGCGGTTCGCCCCTCCTATCCTTAACCCTAAATTACAATCTCAAATCAAATTAATCATCTCAAATTTAAAAAAAAACCTAAATAAAAAATAAATCTAAAATCTATCTTAAATTATTAGATTTGCTCCAGCTAGTGCGTGCCACGATCAAACCGTGCGAGTCGACAATGAAACCCCGGAGTGAACCACGTGAAACACCGAAGGCAGCAGGGATCGCCCGGACGCCGACGCGTTACTCACTTCTTGAGGAGAGGTATCAGTATGAGGTTCGTGTCGAGGCCGAACACGGCAAACGCGAAGAAGCCCTGGCAGAAGTTGAATGCGGAGTCGAGGAACTCCAGCTCCAGGTAGATGCCCGACGTCGAATCCCGGAACAACCGCCAGATGCACAGGAAGAATCCCTGCAGGGAGGAGGCAAGACAGAGGAATGATGAGCTTCGCTTACCGACACCGGGATGCGACGGCTCCCATAGATCTACACTCACTATTCACTGCGGATTTTTATTCACGAGATACCGTCTGACATTTTATTTGAAGAGTGTTATCTCTGAACGATATATGCATTCAACTTTTTTCTTGAATAATGCACGCACGTACGTACACTCACACACAGATATACTCAGACACGCAGTTGATACTTTGTTCATAGGCTTTTACCACAGAAGTTGAAAGTTCTTCAGCAACTTCTACAGAAACCGACACCCCCCGTGACCTGCCATGCACACACGTTTGTTTATAGATGAGAACAAGCGCGGTGTGATGTGTGTGAGGGAGGTACTTACAATGAGCATCGACAGCGTGAGGAAGAGAAGAAGAATCACGTGTCTGGCGATCTGGTATTCGTCTGCGTTCTGCTGCAGTGCTGCCCCCTCCAGGTCCACACTTACGTTGATCGTGTCGTAATTCTTGATCAGCACAGCACACTTCCTCTTCTGCTCACTGACAACAATAAAGATTCATCTAATCAACTCACGAGGTCACATTCATTAATGTCATCGATCAAATTATCGGTTATTCAATTAATATAGCTGTTTAATTATAATGTTTTTGATCATGATTGTTTTTGATTAGTTATGTAACAGATCGGCGAGGACTTCACTGCCGCCTAGCTCGCACGTTGACCCGCCACGCGACCGTGACCGACTCGTGCGCGTACATCGTGACACATCGTACATAGATCGTGGCTAGCTTACACCGTGCATCCCTGCGCGAACCACGTCTCCAATATATAAACAGAAAATATACATACATAGTATACACTTATCTCTAACCCCTTCGTTGTTGTGTTTCTTCTTGCAGGCCGTGCCCAGGTATTTTGGTACTCTCCCTGACGCCATGTTTTCTCTCTTCATATGTGTAACGCAAGATGGATGGATGAATATTTTCGAAGAATTCAAAAAGGTCGGCTATGCGATCATTGTCGTGAGCGGAAATCCACACACGTGCACGACGGGGGCAGTTCCTTCATAATTATTGACATTCATTCATAAATCTCATACCTAAAAGAATTTCCCACGATGCAGTTACGTCTGGTTTTCTTGAAGGTCGGTGGTGGATATTACATTGGCGGCATGTTCTACTTCTTCTGCGCCATTATGGTGGGCGCATTTGTCTTCGCAAACCTGGTGGTTGCCGTTGTTGTCACCAACCTTGAGCTAGCCATGACAGAGGTTAGAGAGGAGCAGATGGCACAGGAGGACTTATTAGGAACGGATACCGGAGGTGAGAAAGAAGCCAGGCATGCATTATTGCGTCAATATTATCTCCCACACGAAGAAAATGTTTCAATAACATGATATGGAGTCATAAGACACTCATTCTCGCCTGTCCAGACCCAGGGGCCTGTTGTCAGAAACAAAATTATTCTTAACATCAGTTTTAACATTAACTTTTCCCCATAGACCGTTGACAAAAACGTGAGAAGTTACGAGTTT